CCCAAACAATCTGTAGGAGCGGCTCTCTTGACAGTCTGGGGGTGGTTAGGGGAGCATGTCACCCGCCCTGAAGCAGCATAGCTGAGGCAGAAGGCGTCGAGGACTCGACAGTGGTCACCGTCAGTGCTGGGGGAAGGGTGTGTCGCGACTCGCGAGCCTGGTTGCTGGAGCAGTGGTTGTCTGGGGATGGATGAGGTCCCACTCGGGACACTTTCGACAGGGGCGGCGATCTGCCTCCGTGATCCGGAAGGACCGACCCTAACTAGCCCGCCGTTCCACAGTTACCAGGCTAGGTAGGTACCTAGGCACCCAGGAACCTCGTACTCGTAACTTAGGCAAGCGACACCGACCGTCCGACCCAGGGGCCAGGTACCCAGGTTTAGGAGCAGACTAGCGGCGGGCCAGTGGCAGGAAGGAAGGTGCTAGGGACGTCGAATCCGTGGGATTGGCGGCCGTCGCGGGCTAAATCCTTAGTACTGAGATACCTCCGAACCTAATGCTTCCTCCCAGCCACAATGCGGTCATCGATCGTGAACCGTTTCTCATGTGAACAGTGCCAGGGGAGGGCACCCCGAAGGAAATCCTAATAGCGCCGGCTTGTGTTCTGTTCGCTCCAATCCTAACCATGACACTGGTTGGAATTAAGCCCTTGTCGTTTATAATGCCGCACAACTATAGCCCATTTGTAATGCGCTCCGAAAGCAGACCGATAGTACCTCAATAGTCGCAGAAAAAGCTGCTGGGATGATGTACGGACCATGTGAAACCACTTCGTAAGGTTCTTTCAGAAAAATATGGCCGAGGCAGAAGCTCGACGGCCGGCAGTGACCATCATTCCGTAGTTCCCTTTTTTTTTAATTTTTTTTCCGTCTGGACGGCATTGATTTCGTCCACGACTGTCGTAGTTAGTGACTGTTAGTCTGCACTTTCTTTCATCTCCGCCCGACCCGCAACGTTTATTGATGCGAGCGCATCTTTTCCTTCTAGGATCAAGTTCATTCAATTTCATTGGTGACCACTCGTCCGGGTAATTGTGGTTTAATATGCGGTCCCCGAGTCATGACGCGGACTCGGCAGATGCTATTTTTAAACGATGGTCTTCGATAGAGTGAACCCGGGTAGACGGTACGGGCATTTGACCCTGTTTTTTGGAGGCATTTTGATGGGCCAATTAGCGTATGTGGAAACTGTTCCTATTATTATCAATCAATCAATCTCCTGGGACAACGGACTTGCAAGTGCGGAGGACACGGTACATGTTCTCCCTGCCCCTTTTTCTTGCATACAGTGAAGCTTCTCTCCAAATCGGCATGAGCCCCTAAGGAGGTCATCGGGCGATAACGTTCTGAGCAGGAGAATCGACACATAAGGGCATACAGAGCCTATCGCATCCCTTTTGCTCTCAGATCCCTGCCCCGTGGCTCTGTTAATTCCACCAATTGCATCTCGTACATGGTACATCAGATAGCGACCTGCGAGGAAACGTCCCTAGGCAGCGGACAAGGTTCCAAAAAGACTTCACTAAGCTTGTTTTGCATCGGAGAAAATAGTCTTAGAAGTGGCCCAGGAAGACAGCCTAGTGCCATACCCACCAGGCGGATCGGCGGAAGCGACTAGCCGCCCTGGGGAACAGAGATTTTCCTTGATCACTGATAGGCTCGCGAAGCGATGACAACTCTGAGAGTACGGAGTACAGAAAGGAGCATTTTGCTTGTCCGGGAATAGTGGGGGACCAAGATCGTTGTTGGGAGCTTAACTTTGCTTTCCACACTCGGACTTTTTTTGGGTTTTGTTGACGATCGACGAGGATCTCTCCGGTTTTGTCGAGAGCATCCTTTCCATGTGGAGATAGCATTCGCAGTGTTTTTTTTTTTCGACTGCGCCACTCCGTTTCCGAAATGCGCGTTAAATCGTCATCCTGATGGTTGTGATATGTCCTCGACTGACAGGGACGTGTGAAGATGGATTGATTGCGTATCCTAGTCCAGTGACAAAGTTGCATAGTAGCTACTGTAGTATCGATATGTGGGGAGACACCCCTGTGGGAAATCGGCATGCAGTTGCCACCTGCAGCCTGCAGCTCAGCCACAGCTGCCACTCTCTTCCGCTCCACACAATCCTTGCCTACGAGCAGCAGGCACGTTGCTCAACGGCCGTCAGCCTGTCAGTCAAGGTTCGCGGCTGCAGGTCTGCAAATAGACTAATAATTCTCCCGATTATAATTCATGCAACGGCCCCCAATTCTCTGTCAAGAACCCCCCCAGCATGACGGCCTGCAGAACTATCAGGTACGTACGGAGAGGACCACTAACGCAAGACAAAAATAGCTTTGCTCATGCATTGTGCACATGTCTCAGCACGAGGAGTTGAGCCAAGTAATTCTGTCGACGATTCGTGTTGTTTGCCATACGGAGTACGGGCAAAATGTTACGAACGTGGCGATGACGACGGAAACCGTCCGATGATGTCTCAGTTGATTCCAATTTACTCACAGTGCAGGTTAATTGCAACTCTCGATATTCCAGACCCAGGATGGAATTGATGATAATATAATCATTTGGCATTGGTACAGTGCGTATAACTATAACTGTGATGCTATTAATCATACAAGACAGGACTATTTTCCAAGTTTTGACCTCAATAATATCACATTCATCTCATTTTCCTCCCCATTGGCGAAAATCACATGACGAGTTTCAATACAAATAAAGAATACCCCAACAAACGCCTGTGGTATCAAATAACACAAGACGAGAAAGTCCCTTGCCCGGTAATCGTCGTACACACTCCGTTTACTCGAAGACGTCGCTCCGGTCCACCCAGATATCCTCTAGCTCGGCGAAGTTCTGGAAGTGCAGAGGGCGATGCTGGTCATCGTAGAAACGCTGTGAACCGAGTCAGTCAACTGTTCCTCAAGCAAAACGAATGCAGGGACAAAACTTACCAATGGCGTGTCAATCTTGACGTAGACAGGTCGCTTCTCAACATTTCCAAACGAGCTTCCCATGAAGCTGTAGTTCCACACATTGTCCTCGGGAACCAGGAAGTAGCCTCGGATCCGGTCACTCAGCAGGAGCTGGCACTTCTCGCCCATGTTGGTCGAGAATCCCTGAGGCTGGTCCGAAGTGGTGTCTTTGTTCTCCGCGCCCCACTTGTAGCCTTGTGGCGTCAGAGCCCAAGCCGCCAGCGAGACCGATCCCGGTGTGAAGGAGACCGTCATCGTCACCGTCTTCTTGTCCCACGATGGATGTGCATTCATCAGTCGGGCGTGCTGCGTCACGTCCTGAGCCGTCATGTACGGCGGCTCGTTGCCGGAGAGTGTGTGGATGATACCCAGAGGTTCGAGGCTGTTAAGATACTCGTGTTGCGGCAGCTGCTGCGGCAACTGGACATCGCGAGTATTGCCAACCTGAGGGACCATCACAATCGTGCGCACTTCCTTGACCTGATCGTTGTCTGGCGGTGACTTGCCGTAGAGGTATCCGGCCACCTGCACTCGAAGATCGGAAATCATGATGAATCGCTTGAGGATGTTCTTGGGCATAACGTAAGTGTACCCTTCCTCGCGAATGTCATCAGAAGAGATGTAGATATTGTTGGCTCGAGTGCGAAGATTGGATGTGGCAATGGCACGCGTACGCCACTCTGTCTTCGACGCAAAGGACTGCTGTTCGTACTGCGAGGTGGTCGTCACGATAATCTCCTCCCCACGAACGTTCTGGGTCTTCGTCGTCACCGCGGTCAGTTGCTTCTGCTCCTGCTGTTGCTTGTCGATCTCGGCGGCCTGCTGTCGCTGCAGAGATGGAGCGCTGATTTCCATACCCAGGATAATATCCCGGACTTCGCTGCTCGTGAGACTCTGCACATTCACGTTGTTCTTCTTGCCATAGTCGTTCAAGATGAGATCGCGCAACTGCACTTCGACCTTGATCCACTCCTCATCTGACAGCGACGGCCAGATGTGATGCTCTTGGGTGATGACCGACTTGTCGGGTCGGAGAATGATCTTGGTCTTATCCGGATTGACGTGAAGTGCACGCAGGATCAGAATCAACCTTGAGAAAGCAGTATACGGCGAGATCGACTTCAGCCAATCGTCGTAAAGGTTGAAGAGAACCATCTGGGGCTCAGTTGCTCGCAAGATCATGTCTGCGAGCTTCTCGACCTTCATGGCCGCTTGGAATGGAAGCTGAAGCTCAGATGCCCGAATAGAGATGTTGGGGAAATCGAGCAGGTGAACTTCAAGAGGATCGAGAAGACCCTTGCGAGTGACGATCAGCTGCTTGGGCTGTTCCTCAACCGGAAGAGACCGGATGAGCGCTGCGACTTCTTCGGCAGTCTTCCACTTCGCCAACTGACCGAGACGCTTCTGACCGGCCCAGACACTCGTGTGGATGATCTTCAGGAACAGCTGTCCAGTGCGCGGGTTGAAGATGAAGATCGCTCCGTTGATTGGCTTCGTGGTCAAGTTACCCTCGAAGGTCTTGTGAATTGTCACACGGTAGACGTTTGTATCATCGATGAAGAGCTGGATCTGGGGACTGAACAGCTCAGAGTAGTTCTGCGAGTTCAAGAATTCTTGGTTGCTCTCGGAAGCGTAGAGCTGCAAACCCTTGCGAATACGTTCTCGCAGAACATACAATGCCGGGTTGGCTTTCATGATCTTCGCCATGGCCTGTTGGATAAGAGTCTTCAAGCCAGGGAAGTACTGGCCGTATGCAGAGTAGAGGTTGTAGGCGAGATCAATTCCGATCATCAAGCCGGTGGCCGACGGGTAGATGCTCATGCTGTCCGTGGTGTAGTCGAGATACTTCGCACGGACGTAACGCTCGATGTCATGAGAATCATAGTCACCGTATCTCAGTTGCACATCCAGCCAGAACTTGTTCGTGGTCGTCGGCTCGATGACGTCCTTCGTATCGAACAGTAGGGAAGGCCGCGTGACATTCCACTTGTTTGTGGCAAACAAGAGGATGTCAGCGCATGAGCTGTTCATCTTGTACGACTTCCGCGGGTGGATGGTCTCCTTCTGAACGGCTTCGATACCCAACGCCTCCAACTCCTGGTCAAAGACTTGGCAAAGATCCATCACGACAGATTCGTGGATCTTCTGCCACAAGTGGGCACGGAAGATCTGAATCAGCGAGATCTTCAGGGTGGGGATCTTGCCGTGCAAGAAAATACCAGTCAGATCCAATTGGACCTGGAAACCGACATAGACGTTGGCACGGTTAATTGTCGGAGACCACCAGAGAGTGAAACGACGGTTGGGAATTTGGTTGAGACCGGATCGCTGGGCGTTGGTCAGTTTCTTGTATTTCATCGATTCTTCGAAACCGGACGCCCTCTCCCAGAACAACCCTTCCCATGATGGGAAACGCTGTGGCCTTGAAGAGAGTGTGCTCCAGGATGGTTTCAACACCACCAAGAGCTTGGATAACGTCGGTACGGTAGGCGTTAAGGTTCCACAGCTTGCCGTCGTGTCTCTGGCTTGTCCACCAGAATGGGTTGCTCTTCATGATCTGGTATTGCTTGAATTCGGCCCTTGTCCGGAAGCCCTTGTCAAAGCTCAACGTGCTGCGGTCTTTCTGGAAGAGTGTATTAATACGTGGAAGACCGCGATCCCAGCTGTCCTCCAGATCCTCCAACGTCAAGCGTCTGTTCTGTTGCTGGGCTTCTTGTCGCTTCTGAGAGTACTCCATCCAAACACGCTGGGAGTCGATGAATTCAGCCTCCCATGGGATGATGTAACGGAAGATGTTTGGAATCAATGTCTCCTCATCATGCGACATACCAGCACGATAGTGGGTGACACCAGTATCGGTCTGCTTTGACCAGCGCTTGTCACTAGCAGGGATAAGGATGTGAGAACCAGAGATCATTCCCAGTCCTCCAAGCTCCTTTGGCGTGTAGAAGACAGCCGGAGGGAACCTCGAGGGCATCTTAGAGTTCAAGCCGATCTTGACTCGAGTCTGGATCTTGGTCTCACACTTGACGATAGTGTCCAGCAGGTTCACGGTCGACACAGCAGCCTCGCGGTAGTAGGTAAACAGCGCGATCAGGGCTGTGTTCCATTTGTTCGCAATCTTGGTGAACGTGGTCGATCCGGAAGACATCAAAATCTGGCGAATGCGATTGTTGAACTTTTGAATGTCTTCCTCCGTGACCTGCAAGAAGGCATACGCAGTCCGCTCTTTGGTCCTGTTGTCGACCAGAGACCAGACACTGTCCTTGACGGAGAACTCGTCATTCTGATTGCGGATCTTAGGAAGAATGCGAACTTCAAACCCGCACATTGAGAAGAGCAGGTTAGGATTATCCTTGCTGTACACGCTGGCAAAGGTGTCGTCCCACTCAATGGTGGTGATCGACCTTGGGAGCCGGTTCTTCAGGTCCCAGAAAACAGCTCGACCAAGGTTGACATCATGGCGCATCAGACGCATTCGGGAGTCTCGAGGCCAGCACTTCTTGTTCTTGTAGCCAACGACATTTTCAAAATTGGGGTCTGGATTTTCGGTCAAGAACCGCTGGATGAGATCCCGAGATTCATCAGCAGTGAACCTGAAGAACACCCAAATCCTGTCAATATAGCGGGTGTAGAGACGAATTGGGTGTTTGGTTTCAGTCTCTCGGTCCTTGAACTGCAAGAAATCGTTCGGGCTCTGAGGAGGACCAGCCAGTTCACTAGCCCGCTGAAGACCGAGCAACAGCAGATCGATAACCAGGCCGTAGTATTGGAAGACGAAACCCGAGAACTGAAGACCACGGATTAAACCGTAGCTGTTCGTGTGGTTCATGTCCTTGTAGTTGAGCTGAACGTTGTTCTTCGAAGTGATGTAATCGGCCAAGTTGTGGTCCATGATCAAACGAAGGAGACGGTTCAGCAAAGTGAGATCTATCTTCTCGTAGACCTTCGAGAGCTTGGTCTCAATCATGACATTTGTCTCTCCATTTTCCGTTTCCCAGACGTTGGAAAGGTTGTTGATACCTTGAGCCCACTTATAGACAAGCAGAGGAGGAACTTCGGAATCAGACGGCTTGATCCAGTTCGGGAACAGATGACGCTGTTCGGCTTGATACCAGAGATATTGATCGAGATACGCGTCGGTGATCTTTTCGATAGGCTCAACGTCATAGACTGGATTGATATCGCTATAGTTATCGTTCATGTCGATTCCGACCTCCTTGAATGCTCGCTGAGTGAGCAAGAACCTCTTGATTCTGGCCAGCGTTGTTCCGGGAGAATCGTATGCCTGCTCAATGAGGGCAAGTTCCTCACGCTGGCTCTGGTTCAGCCGACCCTTTACAGAATAAGACTCGCGGAGGCGTTCCAGAGCAAGGATCAAGATCTTGGTGTCGTGCTTGTAAGAGACGCTAGGGAAGGGGATCGGAGAGAACTTGCGCGACTCGAGCCAATGAACAGTGGTAGTGTAGATGGCCACTGCTTCCTCAGAGGAGACATAGGGACCATCCTTCAGGTAGTTGTGCTGCCGCTCTTGTTCGGCCTTGAGATAAAGCCGAGTCAAACGACCCAGGTTCTTCTTCGCGACCGTCTTGTCGACTGTGGCACCTCTGCGAATTCTCTCACGATTGTAATGGGCAACAGAGATCCACCAGTCTGCCTTCGCCTTGACGTATCGCAGGATAATGTTCTCAATAGGAGCAGGAAGCCCAGGGACCTTCCAAGGAATGTTGCTCTTCCAGCACCTCCACGCCTCGGAAAGGTGTTGCAGAACGGTGTTAACCTTGTTCTGCTTGATGCCTTCAGGCATCATATCCATAAGATCAGCCATGACCGAGGCACGGAGTTCAAGGTCGAAATGCGACTCAACCCGCTGCTTCGTTACCGTCTTGGCAACACCCTTGCTGTGACGACCCTCGAACTGACGAGACAGCAAGTTCCCAAGCCATCTCTCCAGAAGAGGGATGATACCGCGCATGAAAAACAACCACACGCGCCACGACGGGGCCCAGAATCCACAACCAGGTCCCTTGCCAACCGGTCCGGAGTTGAACCGATAGTAAATCAAGTGCTTCAGATCCTTGCAGGACCGGATCTGGTGCATCAACTTGTATTTGTAGCGGTACATACCGGTCAACTGTCCGACGTGGTTGAAGGCGTAGTGGATACCATCGGCAAGCTGGAAAGCATCGATGTTGCCGAGACGGTACTGGACTTGGGCATCAACGATCAACTTGGTCAAACGCAGAATCTCCCTCATCAGATGGAAGGCATTTCCAAAGCGAGACTTCTTCCGTTCCTTAGTGGTCAAGGTTTTAACAGGCTTCAGGTTAAAGTTGTAATCGAGGTGCAAGTATGTCAGATTCTTGCGATGAATCAAGAGATTCAGCATGTTGAACCCTTGTCGACAAACTTGGAGACCTGCCTCGACCCAATCGATGGTGGTTTGCTGGAAGAACTTGGTGCCTTTCAGTGTCCTCAACAGGTTCTGCTTGTTCTGTGCCTTGGGCCTCTTCTTGTGTAGCTCATTAAGCACGTATGTCTTCAGGAGTTTCTGATAAGACACCCGAACTTTCACGGGTTGACCCTGAGGACAGTGCTCAAGATACCATTGCTTGACCAGGGGCACGTCTTGGGCCCGGACCATCCTACCTGATCGGCGGTCGAAGGGGTACGGTGCCCACCAGAGAGCAATGGCAGAGGCCGTCTCGCTGGTGTAGAGTTCTTCATTAGCGAGGAAAGGCTCCATATCCTCCGGAAGCTCGAAACTGTCATCCTCGTTGTTCCCAGGTCCAAAAATCTGATCCTCGTGACTAACGGTGATGTTCTTCGGAGCGACCGATCGCGAAGAGATTGGGTTAATGACAGGGTCGAAATAGAAGGCGGGAAGATTCGGATCCTCCGAACGGACATAAACAACCTGAGGGTAGGAGTACCAAGACACCTTCACGCTTCTGGGCAGCGAATTATATAGGTAGGGGAATGCAACTCGATACTCCGTTCGGATGGGGGAGCGGAAAATGATGCGATCAATCGCATTGAACTCGCTGAAATCCTCGTCGTTCGGGTCGATGTCCTTATAAAGCGGCTCAAAGCGAGGACCTCCCGGAATCGCCACATTGAGCGCCTTGGCAGTAATGAAACTGTTGAGATCAAACATGTGGAAATAGTTCTTGTCCACGACATCGCTCAACAGTTGGTGGCTGAGTCGATATAGAGTCGCCATCTGTGGAAGGGTCAAGTTCCACGTCCTATAGCTAGGGCCATTCACATGCGGCGTGTCGATAAGTGGCCTGTGATCGTAAAACCATTCGTATACCGGAGCATCCTCATTCTCGTCGAGCTCCATCTGGATAGGCTCCAAAGGCTCGACGTCTTCGAGGTTCTCTGACCAGGACAGAGGCGGCTCCTCATCATCGAAGGGTGGGAAGCGCATCCGCTTGAAATGCCGGCGATCGGCCTTCTCTCGCCTCATGACCACCCACATGGTTGCCCACTGGGCGTGGAAGACGGGCTCGATGACCCTGGGAATCTCGTTCACGAGCGTCAGGCAACCATTGACATGGTAAAGCACCTTCACTTCGCGAGTCGACTCCCAGGGCATAGGCATATTCTCCAGCAGTTTCAAGACGGCATGCGGCATGAACTTGAGGGCGCCCAAGTAACTGCGCTTCTCGCTGCTGAACTTCTTCTGCGACACGTCGCCGATATCCTTCACGATCTTTCGCAGATGCTCAGGTGGCATATCTGCCTTCTGAGTCTCCACGAAGCCGCCCTTCCTCTTCTCCCCGAAACGGTTGCGCTGCGTCCGCAGCCATTCAGTCTTCTTCTGCGCGAACTTGGCGACTTTGGGATCGGCAGGAGGTTGATAGCCAGGCGGCGGCGGGGCCATCGGCATCGAGGGAGGAGCTGAAGAGCCCCATCCCGGAGGAGGAGGAGGAGGTAGGGACGACATGATGGCTGTTGTTGATGAGAGGCCCTTCCTTCGTGAACTTGCGATATCAGACCGTGTCAGGGCACGGCGATCTCTGCATCGGATCTACCTATCCTCACGCGATGGATCAGGAGAGGAGATCAGAATGCACGAGATAGCAAGTCGAGAAGTAGAGAGACAGCCCGGGAGACAGAGGAACTCAACAGTGAGATCGAACCCCTTCTCACAGCGGGTGATGGCGACAATTGGGAGGATGGAAGATTCGATTCTTGCTTGTTTGCTGCGCGCCAGGCGTTGCTTTCTAAGTTGCAGGCGGTGGCGGCTCAAGGCCCGTTCTGCGCTAACCCCGTTCGGGTTAGTGGCGACTCGCCAAATTCGCTAGTGCGGCTGCCGAGGGCTTTGCGAAAATGCCCACACAAAACCGCCCTCGCACCTGGACAAATCGACGAGGTCAACGACGACAACCGACCACGCCGCTGATTCCCCGAACTCGTTGTCACCCGGTCGAGAGATTCGAGGACAGTCACAATGGCGAACAACAGATTGCAATACGTGAGTGACTCCGGCCCCGATCGCTGCGAGATGTTGGGATTTGATGCTAATGTGGATTTTTGTGACAGCGCCGGCGGAACCCGTACGTCTACCCTGTGTCCGGACGATCGATTGTTATGACTTTTTAGCAGACATGCTAATGAGGCGATTTTGCGAGCAGGTACAACACGCGGTCCAACAAGGTCCGCATCATCAAGACTCCTGGCGGTAACCTGCGATACCTCCACATCAAGAAGAAGGGCACCGCTCCCAAGTGCGGTGACTGCGGCGTCAAGCTTCCAGGCGTGAGTGCCACCCTTGGGGAGATTTTCTATCATTCTACGTGATCGCGGATCTGTTTCCATCGATTTTAGTGTCAAATTGAGAAGAGATGGGAAACTGGTTGTTTTATGACTCCGATACAGAGGACTGACAATCTCATCCTTCTAGATTCCTGCTCTCCGGCCGCGTGAATACGCCCAGGTCTCTCGTCCCAAGAAGACCGTCAACCGCGCCTACGGTGGCTCCCGCTGCGGCAACTGCGTCAAGGACCGCATTATCCGCGCCTTCCTGATTGAGGAGCAGAAGATCGTCAAGAAGGTTCTCAAGGAGACGCAGGAGAAGGAGAAGCTTGCCGCACGCAAGCGCTAAGCAAGACCCGAGATGAGGTGATGGGGGTTCGTTAAGGGAAAATGAATGGGTAATGGAGAGAATTGGGCGGTGACGACAATTCACGAAAAAAAAATGAAGATGAAAGAGTGCCGCTGGTAGATGGCCCTGATGGATATGATATGGCCATTGCCATGCGAGTGGGACATCTCTCATCCTGCAGCAGACTTCGTGGGTCAAAGTCACTTGTTATTTTTTCCTATGTATGGGTTGACCTTGGGCGAATCTGGGCGAGCTTTTCGAGGGTCTCCACTTTGTTCAAATGGGACCGGTTGTCTACAGTTACTCATCGATATGAGAAGTAAAAAATAAAATATCCATTGATGATTTCTCGTTCATTTTTTGTCAATTTCTGCCTCCAGGATACTTCCAGGACGGCGTCCTTCACTCCTTGTTGTAATGCAATTCGAAAAGAAGACAGTCTACAAGTCGGAATACTGCAGCAGTAGCAGAAGCACGGGGTAAAAAGGGCGACCCATTACCACCATATATCCCTAGCATCTATTACTGAGCATGCTGGTGTATACATTTGACCAGTCTGATCTACTGTCCCAAGAAACAAACAATAAAAATAAAAGTATTTTCTAAATACATACGTATGTATATTATACGTCCATCCCTCCCTCCATTCATCTATCCATCTATCCATCCATCCTTATATACAGTGACAGCAAAAAGAAAGAAAGAAAGCCGTATTTGCGATAAATAACTTCGATTAATGTAGGAGGTAGGTAGGTAGGTGGTGGACTGTGGACCGGACCGGACGAATACTCAAGAAATATATACACTCTGTTATCGATATGACACGATACAATACAATAACGAAGATGATAGATAAGATACAGATTTTCATGATGATGATGATGCCTGCATCTCTTTTCTGTATGGTACCAAAAAAAAAAAACGAAAACGAAAATAAATAATAAAACAAAAAGTCGCTAGCTATGTGTACATATTACATACAATCGCAAGAAGGCGCTAACACATCTGACCTTCATGCTGCAGTACAGGATAAAAAACTAACTGCTGGACATACATACATGTATGTAGGTTATTCATTCAGACAACTCGACTCAGAACAGCCAAAGAAAGTCGGGCTCGATGATAACGAGAGGGTCCAAAGTCCTGTATGCGACGACACAGGCGTACGAGGATGCCGATGATGATTATCCATGTCCGTAAGCTGTTGTTGCTGACAAGTAAAAAAATCATGAGAAGAAAATCCGCTGACGTCGTGCTCGTCGCGTCGTATCTTCGCAGCCGTCCTGGTGGTGGCTTTGCCTCCCTTGGCACCGGAGGAGGAGCGTTGGCGTTGAGGCGCCAGATGATGTTCCGACCTGATGACGGATTTCTTCTGCTTCCAGTTGCGATACCTTGTGGTCGGCTCTACGCCACCATTCCTGATGGCGTCTTCAGTCAGCCGCCAGAAGCTGTTCGCCTTCTTTCTTGTTGGAAGCTCTTCCCTCACAGCCTCGAATGCCTGTCTTAACCAGATTAGCAATCGAAACTAGGCGTTCCAGCTCTAGCGCGAACAGACATACCGCGTTCATCGACAGATTATGGCGGATGCTGCTTTGCCAGGCTTTGGGACGTGGACCTCTGCCCTTGGCTGTATTCCTTTCAAACCAACTGTAAATGTCCTGGAGAGACAACCTCATTCCAGGCGCAGACTTGAGGGCCCGATAGATAAGTTGGGAATACGGCGGCTCGGTATTTTCGCTTTCATCAAGATCTCCTATGCCAATATCCATACTTTCTTCGTGCGGGGCAGGATAGGACATCAGGGTCGCTGTGCAAGTAGAGCTGCGTCGTCCAAGTGATGGGCTCGATGAATCCGTGAATAATGGCATCTGCGGTTTGATACTTGTACAGTTAACGTCGGATATGGAGGTTTCAGATGGCTGGCATTTCTGCGGCGAAGAAACAAGGGAATAGTTTCTGTCGCTTGTAGAAACACCCTTGTCATCGAGATCAAAGGAGAATGTAGAATCGCTCTGACAAGAATTCCAATCATGTGGATATTGCAAGCCGGCCGAGTGACTGCTCGACAGAAGATGGTATGTATCCTCTTCATCCGTAGTAGTCTCTGGGGAACCGAGGAGGAAAGTCCGCGGCGTTTTAAGCATCCGTGGACTCCAGCTATCGAGCATTTGCATTGATCCGGGTTCAGAGAGCTGGTAAGTCCAGTTCGATTGCAGCCACGTCCCAGCTGCCGAATAGAAGTCGTGATTCAATGTAGAATCAGACACGGTGATCTCTCCTGGTGTGGATTCGACAAGTGTCCCCATTGACCGGAATAGTAGGGGCTCTGGAATCTTTGGCAGGACAGGCATTGTGTGTTCCTGAGAGTTGCCACGCTGTGGCTGATAGTCTACCTCCCCTTCGATCGATATCATGGTTCACTTTTTGACGGCAGATCAATTCAACAATGAAATGTCTTCGCTCCTAATACTCTCAAGCCAGAAATCTGGAGAACCAAGACAAGAACGGGTGAGTTCAACGGTTCTGGAAATATGGGACACAAGCTGAAGATATGGGAACATGCAGTAAATGCTTAGCATCGCGTGTCTTCCAAGTCCTGCCCATATTTGAGAAGTAACACGACTGCCAGCCCATCAGACACAAATTCAATAACCCTGTTGCAAACGCGAGCAGCGGGGTACCTGCTGAGGTACCTGCAATATCCTCTATAGCAAACAAGGGAATCTTGCGATATCAACAGTGAAAGATACCGTTACATCTGCGTGGTGTTGCCACGAGGAGGAAGCTTTGTGAAACCGCAATTCAGGGTAACAAAATTTGGGGAAGCTCTAGGCGCTGTACTACACAATGCGAAGCTGAACATCGCTGATGAAGACGTTAACGCCGGGGAGGATGAATCGGATACCTGCAGCGAGGGGAAATAACCGGATATTGTCATCTCCAACGGGTAGGTAGCTAAGACAGTCACACCGCGTGATGCATCTCAAGATCTCGGATGCTATTTTTTGCCGACAGAGCAAAGGCGCCAACTAATCCCACCAATGCCTGGCACTAAGCAAGTTGGTGTGTACAACGCGTTTGTGTCACTCAGTTTCGCAGAAGATCTGCTGGCTGTTTCGGACTGGAGGAATCTCACATCGTGTGCCTTCAATAGTGTACATACGGCATCTCAATCTGGCCCGTTCTAGCAGGGTTCTCCATTCCTCAAATGCACAAATGCATATCATCTCAATGTCTCGCACTGAATCCAATCCTCCATTAAGGCTATCCGAGTCTGGCCTTGTTGACTTATTCACACGCTCGCCATTCGATTGGCAACCACCAACAAATCACAATAGACCCTTCCAAGTGAGGGCAAACAAGTAGTAGGGTATCTAGACAAGAAGCAACAAGATTTGTTGGAACCACTCGTGAAACAAACACATAAAGACAACAATGAAGACGAAAAAACATGTCGAGTTCGTTACTTCCGGTAGTAAATCTGTCGAGAGATCAGTCAGCCAAAGTCCCACAAAATACCAAGCTATGTCGGCGTCCAACTCACCTTCTTGAATTGGAAATGAAGTTGCAAAATGCCCTGAAGAAAGAATGGGTCAGCATGTCAGCTCCACATCAAGTAGAGATGAAGAATGAAATACCTTTTCGAAGGTGCATTTGAAACCCCTGTCTCTCTTGGCGCTGTAGTCCCACTCCTTGTCGACGATGCGGAAAGCGATATCTTCATAGGGCGGGCCAGCCATAAAGCGGATCAGGCACGTATCCTCTTCGCCTGCCTTAACCGAAGACTGACCGCGCTTTCTTCCATTTTCGCGTTCAATGCGATAAGTCGGTGCCTTGGACTTATCGATAAGATCAGGATAGAAAATATTGAACTTGTAGCCCTGAACAACTTTGGGAGGAGGGTTGTCGTGGTCGTAGTGTGTTTGATTGTATTTGTTCCATTCGTATCCCATCTGAACCCGGTTGAAGTACCGAGGCTTGCGGGGGCGATACTTATTTGCCCACTGAGGACGCGAGTCGGTAGTGACAGCTTCCTCTGCAGTAAATATCTCCTCATTTTCACTGACACCTCTCGCGACCTCCCTCTCGTATAGTGCTCTCGTAGCTTGCGAGAAGTCTTCGTTCGGTATGGCCGAGAATCGAGTCGGAACAGTTGAAACCGCTGTTTGAGTTGTAATCGTCTGACTGGGTGTCGCGATTGAGGTCTTGTCTGTATTCCTGTGCCGCAGGGGGACAAATCCCATTTTCAGGATTTTCTGACGCTCCTGGGCCTGTTGATTGTTAGCTTACTCTTATTATGCACCTGACCTAAAGAAGGAATACATACCACTTGTTTCAAGAACTGCGATTCGTCCAGGACTTCTAGCGCCTTATCCTCCGGCCGGAGCTGTAGTAAGGGCTCCGGATCAAGATCCACCAACGTCTCTGACGAAGTGGCTCCGACGACGGGTGCAATTGGTGCTAATTTGGTTCGAACCGACTCTGCCTCTTCTCGTTGCTGTTTGCGGAGTGCTTGGACCCGTCCTTCAATGACGGCCTGGTAGACCTTCTTCAGCTTCGCGCGAGCCTTCCAGACCGTCAGACTGCGCAGAAGCTCCTCCCAATAGTCAGTATCGATGGGTTCGTTCGAATTCAGCTTGCGCTTGACCTGTCCTTCAAGCGTTTCGAGCTCTTCGTAGGTCTTGGGGCTCAGAATTCTGTTGATATCCGCGGCAACAGAGCTGAGGACCCGTCCTTCAAGCGCCGAAGTTTTCTGCCGGTCGCGACAGACAACTTTCATGGTCTACAGTACGGTCAGCATCCACCAGCAGAGAGCCACAATATGGGCGAACGTTACCTTCCAAAAATCGCGGTTCTGAGGAGCGGTTTCGAGAGTCAAGAACGTGTCGATGTCCTTCTCCAGCTCCGCAAGCTGGGCTTGCGATAGACCCTCAAACACGCCTTCCGGGTCAACCAGGTCCAATTCGGAGTCGGGAATCTCGTCATCCAGAGGATTTCTCGTGGGATCAATGACACGCAGGGTAACTGCGAGCCAGTCAATGGGCTTTGCACGGCCCTCCTTGACGCGGATTTCTGCCTTCTTCTTGGCCTGCTTGAGGACGAAAGTGTCCTCCTGCGCCACCCACTCTCGCACCTGCTCATCCTCCTGCAGCCGATTTAACCGAGCCTGTTCCTTCACATTTCGAGGTTGATAGTCTCGAGAGCGGCTGTCGTCGCGAGACGGCGAGTGCCATCGGTCGTTTCTGCGGGGAATCTTTTCAGAGCGGTGCGAGGGCAGGGGAGACCGCGACCGGCTTCGCTTCGACCCTGTCCTGTCTGAGACGTGTGCCGACATGATGAAATTCAGACCGTGGGTGTGAATCTCGCCGGACCAGAGCGCAAAGGAGAGCTCTTGGTGAGCGCGTGAGGAACTTCGTAGGTGGTGGCTAACAGAGCGGCTATTAGAACAGTTAGGCGCGATGCAGTCATGTTAGTGGCGGCTGCGGCTGCTAAATAGTCACCGCCTAATCTAATCGGAATTCATCGATCTCAACGCTCCACTGCACCAGGCTGCTCATCGCTGCAGTCAAGGAAGCCGGTTTATTGCCTTCTTGCCATGTAGAATGGCTGTTGATATTTCCTAGGCAAGGCCTTTTTATTTTATTTTAATTTTTTTTTTGCTACGGAGATGTCGCAGCATTGGAGAAGGCTTCCTCTCTCCGATGAGTCTGCGCCTCCGCTTCTCTTTAAATATAACACAACAGCCAAGGGCTATGAGTTCTATCTGACCGACCTGACCTATATCTGGTCAGAACGCTTGAACCATAGAGATGTTTTGCAGCGAGCCGAAGATGAAGAGACGAGTATTGATCCCAGCGAGGATGCAGAGCAATTCAGCGTGCTTCTGCAAAAGATACAGGATGCGTTCCTGGGCTCCAAAGATAGCCGTGTTGTTCTGAAACCTGGATTGAAAAGCAATTCATTGGAGGTCACGACAATCACACGGCTTCCTGCTCCGTTAAAGCCTCTGCGATGGACCTTGTATCTTTCCAGAGAACCCCCAGCTGAGTTCACCAGGCAGTTGTTTCTGCCTCTGCTGAAAGAGCAAGTGGATCGTGACAGGAGAGAACGGTCCCTGCTGGACCAGCTACGAGAGAAGGACTGGGTTCTAGGCAAGATCTTCGACAAGATCGAGTCCTCTGGTCTGGATCTCAGCACCGTGTTCCCCGGGACAGCCGGTCTACGGGGTGCGAAAAGGGGTACTTCCTTGACTCACGCGGCGAAGTTCATTAAGGGCGTCGCGCCTTTTGATGAAAAGGCATGGCGTAGTAGCTTTGACAGTGCCAATGTTGGATTACGCATTGCGACCGATCTCGTAGATCAGGTCTCTGATCCTTCATCCGCCCTAGATAAGCTCGATGCCGCTCCGGATAGATGGTGGGAAAGCCTGGAAATTGAGGAACCAGTCTCCAAGCCTTCACGGACGAAGAAAACCGAAACGAGGTATGAAGAACCATCTACTGCAGCTCCACTCAGCAGGGAAGACACAGCTAGTCTTGCGAGTAGCGATGAAGATGAATTTCAGGTACGCGTTTTCTACTCTTGATACACCTGATGTAGGCTGATAATATGACTGCTTCAGCGCCAGGAGACACCTCCTAGATTAAAGCGCGCAAAACAAAAACCACAGCAGGTTGAACATCCTACCACTGAGTCGGATGAGGAAGCCGAACCTGTCCCTCGGAAGAGGAGCACTTCCCCGGCCCGACCCCAGCAGAAGCAGAAGCCCAAGGGCCTTGGGGTAATCGGAGGCCCAAAGATAGCCCCGGCAGCCCCAGCAGCCCCAAGAACAGCACGATCGCTCTCTTCTACAGAATCTGAGAGGTCGCCAGAGCCTCCTCCAACAACATCTGGCATCCCGCCCGCTGCAGACGAGGAAACGGAATCCGATGAAGCATTGCCACCGCCACGACCAAAGCAAGTTGCAGACTCTACTACCAAGTCAGCGAAACCTACCGGACCAACTCAGAAACGCGTTCTGGGAACGATAGGCGGAAGAAAGGCCAAGCCAGAGGAGAAGGATGAAGAGAAGCAGCCATCTTTGCCCGACTCTGCTGTCAGGAGGAGCCGTAGCCGTAGCCGGAGCCGAAGCCAGTCAACTGACGACGAGAGTCACTTGACAACATCAACGCAGACAAAACCCCCTGTCAAACGGACCGGGAAACTAGGGGTCATCGGCGGCACAAAGAAGACGAAAAGTCTTCCCACTCGCACTCCATCTGCTGCTGCCAGTGGCCCTGCCGCGGAAGCAACCGCCTCTACGGACAATGACCTAGACTCAGACACAGCAACAAGACCCAAAGCGACAAAAAAACAAGAACCATCTCTCTCCCGATCGCCATCATCATCACCTGCACCTGCACCACCTCCGGAACCGAAACCAGAGCCAGAACCAGAGCGTGAACTAACAGCGCAAGAAAAAGCCGACAAAAAGCGCGAAGAACTAAAGCGGCAGCTCGAAGAAGCGAAGAGTAAAGCCGCTGTTAAGAAGAAGAGGAGGTTTTGAAAAAAAATACAACTAACATTGATGATAGGTAACTACCTAACCTAACATAACCTACCCTAACATAACCTAGTATCTGTCATTGTCATGAGTCATGAATGACATACATGATTGGATAGATAGAGATTGGATAGATAGATCAATCGATACGATTATTCTCCGAAATCTTGATTTAAACTCCGAAAGGGAGAAAAAAAAAGGACACAAAAAGGAAAGAAAACAGAAAAATATACCAACTAGACCATCAAATTGCTGTTAACAGCCATACCGAAAATGGTAACACAAGGACAATATCACGTTATGCAATGCAATGCAATGAAATGAGTAAGAACAGAACAGAACAGAGCAGAACTATAATACAGGGTATGATGAAAGAGTAAGAAAGAAGAAAAAAAAAGTCCAAGTCCAAGTCCAATCAAGTTCTATTGCTATCGTTACCCTCCCGGGAAAGGATCCGATGTCGACTCCCTCTCTCTACTGCTGGTGGTGGTGGTGGTGGTGCTTCGTTTGCCCTGCTCCCCCGGCGCGACCAGCCTCACTTTCTTCGGCGACATGGTGCCGCCTGAGGATAAGGTTGTGCCAATGGCAGCATTATTAGCATTATTATTATTATTGTTATTGCCTGTTGCACCAGCTCCTCCGCCGGCAGCAACACCCAGCATGCCTCTGACCTTCTCCACCGCCTTGCTTTCCCCTGTCGCCCACGTGTCTCGTTTGACAAAGCTCTGGTTGATCTTGCGGCCAGATGCGGCATCCCGCCGCTGGTGTGACTCGTCCAGGTACGATGCCCGGTTCTGTTCCCGACGTGGCCCAGGCCCGCAGTCGTGCATGCATCCTGGCGTGGGGCAGCCCCTTCGCTGATGGAGACGTCGCTGAGCCACGCCGTCATGCAGGCCACGTGTCCGCCGTGGCCGCAGCCTTGGCACCACGACCACAGGCCCGACCCAAAGGGACGCGGACTCGTATAAGACTGATCAAGGCGCACCATCTCCGAGGCGGGAATAGGCTCGGTCGCATCAGATGAAAGAGAAGTTTTGGAAGCGAAACTGGCATCATCCGTCGAGGCAGAGAAAGCAGCGGCCGAAGGAGGTCTGATCCACTCCGCCGGCGGCTCGAGATTCAAGCAAATCGGGCACGGTTTTTGTGGAGTCTGGCACCGGTGGCACCGCCGATTGTCCCTTACGGGGTTCTCATATGGTCGCTTGCATGTGTAGCAGTACACGTTGATAAACGTATCCACCTGAGCGTATTCATAGACAGTCGGGTACCTGGGTACACAGAGATTCCGCAGCTCCGCAGCTTCAACGAACATAGAATGCCGAAGCAGCTGTTCATTGTATGCCTTGAAGATAGCGGCACATTCCTCGTAGGGGAGAATCTTCTCACATGCGTAGAAGAGAGCATGGATTTTATGGAGAAGATGGGCGGCCGACTGAATGTCAACCGGGGCGTTGCTGTGATAGTGTCGGACCGCCTCCCGCAGGATCATTTGCGCGCTCCAAGGCTTGCTTGCGGTCAGTTCCGGGGTTAATGGGATAGTCACCCCTTCCCACCCCTCGATGGCTGCCAGCGTTGCTCCGTCAGAGCCTGCGGACGGCGATTCTTGCTTGACGTCCTTCACCGGACTTGATTCAACGAGAAGCGGCAGCGGATTCGAGGGACGGTCTAGATGCACGTCATTGGTGTCAGACAAGGACTCGTCGAAAGACATCTGCCTCAGTGGATCTCCATGATCAGGTTCGAGGGCAAAAGATGTGGATTCTTCTTCCGCGATCGCGTCCTCTTGCACGGCCTCTTCATCCATCTCCCAGCCGGTGCTATCCCTCCGGAGGGAGATGGGAGCATTGGTATGGGGAGAAAATGAAGTGCCCATCGATTTGGCGCGGTGGGAGCTGTCGGTAGAAGCGGAGAACATTGGAAAGCTCTCAGCAGAGTCGTGACGAAGATAATGTCCAGAGCGACCAGGCCGATTGGCATCACCGAGTGGATCATACGATAAAAGTCTCTTGGGAATCAGCTTGTAGTCACGAATGGCGGCCCTTTTGTCTTCCACCTTTTGATCATAGTCCTCTTCTGAGCCTCCTTTCCCAAAATCCTGCGATGCGTGGCGACGCCAGAGGGCTCGGCCAGTAATAGCTCGAGGCGCGGATCGCTGATCTCCGTATGGTTCTTCGTCACGGTTCTGGTCCGACACCAGACTGCCCGAAAGAATTTGTGTATTCTCACTGGACTGGGACTCCTCGCGTTGAAGTCGAGCCATGGACCGCGCACCCAAATCAGACGCTGCCAAGTTGTCGCCGGCCAGGTCATTGGAGTTCATCGTGCCATAGTGGGAAGAGCTAATCACCGACGGGGGCAACGGCTGCAGATCAACCATGTCCTCCGTCAAAGACGGTGCGATCGAGCTGCGGCGGGATCGAGGCGGGGAGTCAGGGAGGGGTTGTGCGAGAGGAGTGGTCATGCTCGAGGTGCTTTCAGTCTCCGGCACGACTCGTCGGGTTCCTTCTGTCTCCATCACTCCTTTGAACAGATGGCTCCGCATCTTCTCTGGCTTGGTGTCTTCCACCGCGCGGGACCGCTCAGCCTGTTCCCTCTCAGGAGAGATTCCTTTGCGGGCATTGCCATTCCGCTCTTTGCGCCGCCGTCGATCCTCTTGCGCTCGCAGTTCGAGTTCCTGCACGACCGAGTATTTGACGATTCTCCATGTCTGGGCCAACTTAAAAAGAGAAACCTCCTCCGCACGCTCTGCGTTGTGATCCAGGTCATCTAGCAAAGCTCTCACGCGATCCTTCCGATGTTGTTTCAGGCCCGGATCTTCCATCAACGGGGCGTATTGCCGCGCCAGGTATCGAAACACGTCTGGATTCAAGGAGACACCGGGGATACGTCCAATCGCCCCCAATTGACGCGGGCCCACGCCCTTGTTGGCGGACAATGCCTTTTCCAGGGGCACAATCACCGGATTCTCTTCGGTTCCTGGCGGAGTGTTGCCCAGTGACTTGGACGCTCGCACTTTCTGCTGCTTCTGGTGCAAAGAGGTGAGCGGGGCAGAATCATCGTCATCAGTCAGACTCTGACTGACCGCCTTCTCCGTGCTTCTCTCCCCATCGCCGTGGGTCTGAAAGAAGCTGGTCGAACTGATGCCCAGGACGCGCTGGCGCGGTCGCTTCTGAGTGATGGCGAGGACATCACCTGTCGGGCTCCAGGCGACCGCGCACATGGGCCGTTGGTTGATGACCTGAGGGGCGTACCGGATATCCGTTTGGGTGAACGCACCGGCCTCACCCACGGTCCAGAGCAAGTCCTTGGAGCGCCAGAGCAGATCGGCGGGCGGGGTATCATACCTGTCAAATTCCCGAAAGGGGATGTGTGGCCGTCGAAGATCCCAGAGATGGATGCGCGGATCTTCCTTGTCGTACGAGGTGACCAGTTGCGTGGATTGCCAATCCTCGGGTCCCTGAGAGTCGGAAACCCAGCAAGGAGGACGCCATCTTACATGGACCACAGCCTGCGGAGCCCGGAACTGGAACGTGGGCTTCTGTCTCCGTTCGGCGGACGAGGAGAAGTCCCAGACCTTGACCTGTTTATCGGTGCCGCCGCTGACCAGGTGTTTGCCGTCCGGGTGCCAGTCGACGGCGTAGCAGGGCTTCTCATGGGCGGCGATCCTCAGCTGAGGAGCCTTCGCGTTTCGGTAATCCCAGCACTGGATTGCACCGCTGTCGGTGGCCGTGGCGAACATGACGCCATCACTGGGAGACCACCTGATATCGCGAATGGCATCGCTATTGCCGCTATATCGGTTGGTGCTGGAGCAATTGACGACGCCGCGCTCTCCGGAAGCCATTCGCAAATCCCACATTCTGATGGTCCCATCCTGGCTCCCCGATAGGAGCCAGGCGGGACGATGGGGATTGAAGGCCAGTCGGTGGACCTGGCGGCTATGTCCGTTGAAGCGGGCCAGCTCCAGACCCGCCCGATGCAAGTCATAGATGATGATGCGGCCATTCGCGGCAGCGGTTGCGATGATGGTGTCGAACTCGCCGTGGGACCACTTCACATCCTTGATGGCCAACTGGTCTTTGTGTTTGGCTGGGAGGCCACCGGGCACGTGGTGCGTCGCTGAATAGTTGATGATAGCATTGCGGATGTTGAATTCTTCCGAACATGCGTCTGCTGAGACACGAATCGTCTTGAAGATTTCGCGGCCTGCGATGACGGCATGGGTCTTCTGCGGCGAGATATCGAGTGAGGCGATCGGGAGACCGGTCCGGTGTGTGATGGTTTGCGGAGCACCCGGCCTGTTCCTGCGTCAGTCGTCTGCGGCTGCATGAAGAAGTGAGACATAGCCTTACAGCGATCTGGATCGCGACAGTCGCGTGCGCCCCGAGACGGCGTCCTGACGGCGATCCGCATCCGCACTGCCACCACCACCACCACCACCACCACCACTGGCACCCCCGTCAGGAGGGCTCGGTGGGCGCGACCCCGAGAAGAACGGCTGAGCAAGCCTGGCAAGAGCGCTCGTCGCACGGTTCGAATAGTAGCGGTGACTCGGGGCCGGGGCAGGAGGCGGCGGCGGCGGCGGAGGAGGAGGGGGAGCGGGCGGAGGGCGGGGGAGCGTTTCGGGAGGGGCGATTTCGGAGGGGGATCGGCCATGGCGACC